AAAAACTACTATATGAGATTTCTCGGTGCGCGAATCTCCCTCCCATGGGGGGGGGGGGCGACGCGCAGATGGCATCAGCACGCTGGGGTGACGCACGCCGATGAAAGGCGGAGGGGCTTCGTGAATGCCACGAACAGTCAGCATCGGATCGGGAAACCGGATCGGATCGGCACGTGTGGGGTTCACTTCGCTCGGGAGCTCCCGAGCAAAGTGAACCCCACCCTCCCCCTCAGAAATCGTGGGGGGTAGGGGTAGGGTTCGCCTGTGGCCCCCTATTCGATCTCGAGCCAGATCGATCGGATCGAAAGGGACCTCGCAGGCCGCCCCCGTGACCGCGGGCGAGCCGCAAGCACCGCCCAAAACCGACTGCTCGTCGACGCCCAGGGACGAATACGTGTCACGCCCCCGCCAGGGCAAGCTGCGTGCCGGCCCTGGCGCAGCCCACTGTCAGCGAGGGGTACGAGTCGAGCGTGGGGGGCTCGAACTTGCCCGACTGGGCCGCCAGGGAAAATGGCGAGACCAAGTCTGGAGTCTGAGGCGAACTCTCGTTCCCATCGGATTTGCGGCGGTTCCTGAAAAGATCCGAAAGGGTCCGTGAGGATTCCTACGGGAATCGCCCAGATTCCAGAGAAGTCCCGCTTACCTTCCTGAACATTCCTGACGGACTCCTGCAGGATTCCTAAAAACGATGGTACAGTCTTGGAGCGTCCTCAAGATTACCCAGGGATTCCTTAGGAGATCTGTGGATTTAAGACCAGTCAGCACGGACTATGGTGTACTCCACCAGTTCCCTGCTGGATTCCTGAAGGTTCTTGAAGGACTTCAGTAGCAGCACTCACGAAAGCAAGAGTACTCGGTGTTCCGAGTAGCAAAATCCAGAGAAGGTAGGAGTGACCGAAGTAAAAGTCGCAGTAGTAGAAATAGAAATACAATACATAAAAGTAGCAGTAGTAATAATATTAATAGTAAGAGTAGTAGTAGCAGCAACAGTAGTAGTAGTAGTAGTAGTAGTGGTGGTAGTAGTAGTAGTAGTAGTAGTAGTAGTAGTAGTAGTAGTAGTAGTAGTAGTAGTAGTAGTAGTAGTAGTAGTAGTAGTAGTAGTAGTAGTAGTAGTAGTAGTAGTAGTAGTAGTAGTAGTAGTAGTAGTAGTAGTAGTAGTAGTAGTAGTAGTAGTAGTAGTAGTAGTAGTAGTAGTAGTAGTAGTAGTAGTAGTAGTAGTAGTAGTAGTAGTAGTAGTAGTAGTAGTAGTAGGTAGTAGTAGTAGTAGTAGTAGTAGTAGTAGTAGTAGTAGTAGTAGTAGTAGTAGTAGTAGTAGTAGTAGTAGTAGTAGTAGTAGTAGTAGTAGTAGTAGTAGTAGTAGTGGTAGTAGTAGTAGTAGTAGTAGTAGTAGTAGTAGTAGTAGTAGTAGTAGTAGTAGTAGTGTAGTAGTAGTAGTAGTAGTAGTAGTAGAGTAGTAGTAGTAGTAGTAGTAGTAAGTAGTAGTAGTAGTAGTAGTAGAAGTAGTAGTAGTAGTAGTAGTAGTAGTAGTAGAAGTAGTAGTAGTAGTAGGAGTAAGAGTAAGAGTAGTAGTAGTTATTGTTGTTGTAGTAGTTGTAAAGGCCGTCATAGCAGTCGTAGTAGCGAAAACAATGGAATGTAGTAGAAGTCGTCGACAGAGTAGTAGGAATACACAATCGCAGAGGTGAGAATACCGGTAATGCAGTAGTAGTCGTCGTCGTGGCAGTATACGTAATATCCCGACTAAGAATAATAGTGGTAATGGGAATAGTACTGGTCGTAGTAGTAGTAGTAGTAGTAGTAGTAGTAGTAGTAGTAGTAGTAGTAGTAGTAGTAGTAGTAGTAGTAGTAGTAGTAGTAGTAGTAGTAGTAGTAGTAGTAGTAGTAGTAGTAGTAGTAGTAGTAGTAGTAGTAGTAGTAGTAGTAGTAGTAGAGTAGTAGTAGTAGTAGGAGTAGTAGTAGTAGTAGTAGTCATTGTAGTAGTGGTAATTGTAGTAGTAGTAGTAGTAGTAGTAGTAGTAGTAGTAGTAGTAGTAGTAGTAGTGGTACTAGTAGTACTAGTCGTAGTGGTAGTAGTAGTAGTAGAAGAAGAAGTAGTAGTGGTAGTAGTAGTAGTAGTAGTAGTAGTAGTAATGGTGGTGACAGTGATAATAGCAATGGTAGTAGTAGCAGTAGTAGTAGCAGGGGCTGGTGTGTAGTAGTAGTAGCAGCAGCAGTAGTAATACTAACACTCCTACTCCTGCTCCTACCCCTACTACTACTACGAGTAGCAGCAGCAGGAGCAGTAGCATTAAGCAGTGCTAGTACGAAACAAGCGCACTCGTACTAGTACAAATACAAGAGCAGTACGGGTACTCGTACTAGTACAAGCGCAAATAGCAGCAGCAGCAGCTTACAGCTTGCCAAATGCAGGAAGTAGGTACTAGCAAGCTCGAGTTGTAATCTAAAGTGTTCGGCATCGGAGGACATATATTGTCACACGATCGTGCACCTCAGGAAGCTCCACCTG